CMWKSCYWAWWAAAAAAAATAATATTCAAATATATTTCTTTTTCTGTTATGAGTAGGTAATACTTTAAAATATACTGGAAGAAACATCTCTTATCAGATGTTTCCAGTAACAATTTCCACTACCATCTGAGTCTCAGGGTTGGGTTTTTTTTTACTAGGGCAGCTTTAAATGAAACAGGATATCTAGTAGGGGAATTACTTTATTTTTTTTTTTTTTTTTAATAAGAGGATTCCCTTTACCATCACATATAGATCTCTTGGTAACATAGTCACATACTGAACTGGAGAAACAAATTAATAGTGTCTAAAGTCAGGTATTCTGATAAAGAAATATCAAAAAGGTTTTGAGAAAACAGCCTTCTCATCTACCCCTGTAAAAAGAAAAAAAAGTTGAAATGATCTCCTAATGCATCTCCCTTCATAATTCATGCCGAAAGATGACATTTTCTCAGGATCTTAATTAAGATAATGATGAACACCTGTGTCGGCATTCTTTGGCAAGACAGCATTATCCATCATAATCTTTTAAGCACTCTCAAAAAACCCCAACAAAATCGTATGACGGAACCAATCTGTTGCCTCTCCTTGCACTAAGTTTTACATCTCAGACACACAGAAGAACGATTAGATCTTTAAAGACTGCAATAAAAACAGGATAGTTAGATTTTGAAGTTTCAACAGAAAGGAGCTATTAAATTAATTAAATTAAGGTGTATCATATCCAAAATATCTAAGTTTAACTCCATTCACTACAAGCCACCTGGAACCAAACCTCTTACAGWTAGAGCCTACCAATATCTGTACTTTTAAAACGTAGTTTGCTGTAACTTGCAGGATCATTCTGCCTCTTTTTATTCCCCAGAAAGAAAATATTCTCAGCTGATCCCTACTGTACATTTATGTACTAATTTATAAAGCATTTTATGCCATACCACACATGTTTGCACAGCCTAAAAGAAATTATGCAAAAGAAACTAGTGTAGAAAAACAAATATGCAAATTCAAACRTTGCTACATTTTGGGTCACATTTTGTGCAATCATCTCAAATCCAAGTTCCTCTCATGCCAAAAACCCTACTGCCAAAGATCCTTTTAAACAGCTTTGCAGGACCAGCCCATCAGACTGAAGGCTATAAAAATAGTGATTTTAATTATTTATTTATCCAATCTGAATCTAAATTCACATGCCTGAATTTAAATTAAGTGAAGAGTGCACAGTCAGCCTGTAAATCCTTCCCTTGTTAAATAAGATTTTAAGGGCAAGTGTTTTTTTTATTGCATTAACAATTTATCTTCCAAAACATTATGCAAAAAAATATACGAAATCCAGAATTTTAATATCAGCATGCACTGGTATGGATTCACTGGCAGCTGCAAAGCAGTCTCCTGATACCAAGAACTCATTCACACCTTGAAATGCACATACCTTCAGCAAAAATGAAGAGAAGCAGCAAATGTATCCTCAAGCCCCACATTTGTTAACAGAACTGAACAACGTAAGAGTCTTGAAACAAACTTCTCATTTCCCTTCGATCAAATGGCTGAAAAGTCCTGCAAAGCAGATTAGTCTTAGGCTTTCATATTTTAATATGCTGCTATCAGAGGAAAAAGTTGCTGTGACTAGTCATTCAGTAGAGCTATCAATGTGCAAATAAAGCAGAAAATAGAGACATCCTTAAGAAATGAGTCTCAAATTTGATTTAAAGTGAAGGTGACAACCACAGCAATAGAACTATAAACTAAATGTTTCAATATCTTGAATAATTATCTACAGTTCTTTTAAAACTGCAAAGAATATAATAGTGGCATAATGTAGTGAGAATGTCAGTTTGATAGGCACTTACAATCCTGACGGCGTACGAGTCCTATCACTACCGTTTATTAATCAGCTCTGGTATTATGTTGCAATGCATGAAAGTATGCATGAACTCACCACAGTTTCCAAAATGTATGCCTACAGAAGAAAGATTAGTGGAACATCAGAAATAAAGAGGGTAATTTTACATGACGTTAACCTTACCTCCTCCTCAAAAAAGTCAGATGCCATGGGAAGATGGTTAAAACTTCTGCTTCTTCCTACAAAGAAAGGAGCACGGAAAACCAGTTAGTTATTCTACTCACATATAAAATGAATGTTAAATGTACAAAACTTGATCAGATGATATCTCACTCCCCGAACAAGGGGGCTTGCCAGAGGATTATGACAGAAGCGCTTTTGAGTGGAAAAAGAAATGCAGTGCTCCAGAGCGATCGCTAAAATGAAGCCGGGGACAAATACCGGTGACACTGTGCAGCTGAAAACTGATGAAAGTGCACACCTGTGTGGATTGAGCATGTAAGGGAGTGTGCGAGCMGGGGATGGACCTGTCCCGTTTGTCGGGGCAGAACCACATGGAGTATAAAGAGACGAAACTCGGCACGTTAAAAACTTAAATTAAAACAACAAAAACAAAACAAAACAAACAAAAAAAAAATCAAAGAAAACAAAAAAACAAAAACGCCGGGGTCGCAGGGTGCAAGACGATAGAGGAACGGGCAGGCAGAGCGCGGCTCGGCAGCAGAGGAGCCGAGCCCGGTGCGCCCCGCAGGTTCCGCCCGGCGCTGGCGGGCCCGGGGCCGAAGGGAGCGGAGAGCGCGGCGGGGCCGGCCCTCGCCGCCCGTCAGGGGGCGCCCCACGGCGGGGCAGCACCGCCTCCGAGCGCCGCAGGGCCCCGTCCCTCACCTCGGGCCGGGCCGTGCTCAGCCCCGCCGGGCTGCTCCGGATC